TATTGTAAATACTGGTGACAAGGAGCAAATTAAAAAGACTGATAAATAGTAATGTGCTCTTTCGAGCAGTATATTTGGATACAAAGACAGAAGTCAAGATAACTCGGAAATAAATTGCATAATAACATATCTTGTTTGAAAGGCTGTACAAACTGCAATTGTCGGCTGGACTTATCCGGCATGTTGGTTGAAATTTCGCTCGGCAAATTTGTTTTGTCAATAATTTGTAATAAAATTTTGTTATATGTTTTCTGGATTGATAGGAATTCTCATTTCCTGGCTAGTTATGTTGGTGTCCGCGTCATTTAATCTGACTGCGACACACTTAGCATATTGGTTGTAATGATTAGTGTTTCATGCTGAATGCGTCAAAACATCTCTACAATGAAGAAGATGGGGTAGTTGGGGGCTAATATCATCTACTTAAGTAGTTTATTTCTTGTAGAAGCTGCAGCTTTCGACATAGTGTCATTCAATGAAGACTACGTCAAAATGTGGCTATTTTCGTGTGAAGAACAGTACTATTTTACAAAAGAATGCTATCAGTACATGGGAATCACCTATAAATGCCAACAGAACGTAAAACCAATGTGTAAACGAACGGCTACGGAACTGCAATCCAACATAACCAACAAACATGGACAAAAATGACCTATGAGCGTCTCACTCCATCAATGACCTTGAGCATGCGGGATAATTTCAGCCCAATTGTCCCTTAAATAGGCAGAGAGCGTGACAACAATTGCGTTGGCAATAGTCTGTACGTGTACATTTTAAAACAAAAATTCAAACATTCAAGGTGCACCAAACTCACACCGAGTCATAAACTCCTGAAACCGACTCCCAAAAGAAGTGGTGTCTGCAACCTCAACTGATTCATTCAAGAAGGGTTTGAACAAGCACAGGAATTTACTAGTAAAAGGATTCGCATAGGCTCCAAGCCTTCTATACTCAACCAATAAATGTGAATTTAAAAAAAAACTGTGGACTTTTTGAAGATTAATAGAATAAAGATTGCCCAAGACGTAGACGTTCCGGAATAAACCGGCAATAAAAGTTCAGGAAAAGTGTGATTTGTACCACTCAGCAAGGTGAGAGGAAACCATATAATGTTAAATACACTCTCTTGAAGAATCCTCAATTTATCGAGAATCACTAAACCACTTAAGGCTAACTGTTATTCATTGGCAATTATTTCAAGTTGCATTGTCTCACAGTCTTCGAATTTCTTTCTGGTGACTTTTATATGCTATTGTTTTTTAAGATTTGCAAGGGAAAACGCTTAAGTGAAAAAAATATAGGAAGACGAGATGACGAATTTAAGACTTCTCTTTGAACCATTGGTAAGGCGGAGTTCCTGCTTATTTCAACCTTTTCTGAGATTTTAAAGTGATTAGGATTCTCCATATAGAATGTTATCCGAACGGATTAAAAATTATAAGTATAGGAGTGCAAATGGGAAACCTAATTCAGCTTTTATTTCGGTGTCTGATATAAATATGGAAAACCTACTGGAATTGCCACTTAGTTTTGAAGACTAACGGATAGCGTTTGTTTGAAGTTTAGATTTCAGAGGATTTAGAGTGCTGATAATACTTTCGGTTAGTTACACCATACCAGTCCTTACTAAACGTCGTTTGTCTAATCACCCAATAAACCAGCAATCTACCTTAACTTGTAAGTACTGACACCAAAATGCAAATAAAGAAGACTTGGTTAATTACTAATATACTTTAATGAGCAGTAAATTTAAATAAAATAAAGAGCTAAGATTATTCAAGGAAAAGGATTTAGAACATATCTAGCTAGTATGGCTGTATTGTGGACTCAGAGAATGGGCATGTTAACAGCACAGGAAAAAAGTGTGAGAATCACGTTTCAGCCAGTCTGTATGTGTACCTGTTAAGAAAAAAAAAACTTAAAACAGTGGAAGGTGTTTTATGTTTACAGCTGTGAATTCTAGTAAGCGTCTAGTGAGATTGTTAGTAATTGAGTGATAGAACGAACACACTCCACTCTATATTTACTGAAATGGTTAGCGATTATCTACTACTTGTTGTAAATTAGTAGTATATTATTAATTTTGAAATTTCTATCACTGCACTGCATGAACTAAATTACTCACAAATCCTGTGTTTTGATTCACTCACTACGTGATATTTTCCATTGTAATTCGAGTGAAAAGTGTGCATTTTCAGTTACCTGAACCACTTTTAACTATTAAACAGAGATTAAGTAACTCAGATAACACAGAAACCCAAAGGAAATATTATTCTCAAGATATTGTAGAATGTTCAAGAGCTACTCCATTATGGATTAGATTTTATTTTGATAAAGTGTCACATAGTGTTGTACAGTAATATTAACTGATGACGTTTCGAGCACAAATTATTGCTCATAATCATATCAAGTGACTCACACATTTTTCCTTCATTTCAAGAGCTATTTCTTCAAAGTCAAACTAAGAATCTGAAATCGGACAAATATTTTGATTTACCTTTAAAGTAAATGTATTAACTAGATATTTCGTTTGGATGCTGGTTTCCGTTGTTTAAATCGCCTAGTTTTACTGCCTCTTTGATAAATTTACTATAATTCCATTTGTCAGCTTTGTAATTTGTTAGAGGAAGAGATTTTTGATTTTACTCACTACGTCACCTTACTTGATATATGGTTATGGTAGTATTAATCATTTTGTTTCAAGTTAACTTTCGAAACTGCCTGAAGTTCTGGCGGGAAGTCGTAAACTTTGGAGTTCACAAGGTTAGATGTCGGGACAATTAATCACCGGCGATATTAGCTGGCAGTGGCGGGAAATGGCAAAATGAAAAAATTTAGAATTCATGAGCCATTTAATCACGTCCCAATGGCTGAATAGTCAGTGAGCTCACCGTGTAACCTGAAGGTCCTCGGTTCGATCCCTAGAGGGGTCGTTGGTGGGCACTGCTGAACAGTCCGAAACTAGGACGGAATAGTCGTCCACTACTCTCTGGTTTCCAATGATTCTCTGACTGCTATCAGTGCGTGATAAAAATACAAAGAGATCAAGCTAACACTGGATAATTTGTCATATTAATGGACAAAAGTGGGGTGAAGATAAAGGTATTCCCAAGGCATTCTCAAGTACTGTATAGTAAACGACGCAGCAGATATTTCAGCTGTGTAAAAAGCCATAAAACACCTTTTAAAGATCCATACTTAACATCTGAAGTGATGACAGTATTTCTTTAAACATGTAATGTAATTGATTGCCTCTGTTCTGTACTATCAGGAGGTCAAAAATGAATGGGGGGGGGTGAAGTCAAACAATAAAAGCCACCTTGGTACGTGACTTTCGACAACCAACTGAGGTAACAGAAGGTATAACCAAATAAAATTATGCCTTCTTTTCTGGATTTGCTTAATGAGTTCTAGGAAGACTCTGCGTGAGAATAATAATGGATTAACTGGAGTTACTAAGACATAAATACGCGGGGTAGGCTTGACAGCATGACTGATATTTTTGGAGGAGTGGGATTTCGGGGTAGACTGAAGAACAGAACCAGATATTTAAAGTGATATTAGGACACCATGATCTATAGTCACTTTTTTAGTAATCTTGAGACTTATATTTTCCCCTCATTCTGATTAGTTATTTAAGGTCACCAGTAATATCGATCGATGTGGTTTAGCTTCTCCTGAAAGTGTACTGACGATTGCTTAGAAAGTCACCCAAAGAGTGACTGAAATTACTATTTCACTATTGGACATAAAAATAGAAATTTAGGAGCAAACTGAACAAACGGAAACGGTAACTGGTGGGACACTTTCTTGACCCTCTAAATAACATTTTTGCCAAATATTGTAGGACAGAGTGAGGTAAGTAACGTAGTTAGGTGGAGACAGAGGTTAATCACTGAAGCTTTGTTTATCGATTCAACACCGCACACGTGCAGTCGGAATGACGCAACACCTATACCGGAGATATGGAAAGTGGCAACAAACAACAAAGGGAAGTTGGAGAGATGGACGTGTGACTAAATTGATATGATTATGAGCAGTTATGTATGCTCAAAACGTCATCCAGTTGTTTATACTGCATCACTGTGTAATTATTAAAATAAACTTATCTAATATGGAATTGTCGCTTGGGGTCCGTAAGAGTATTCACTACTCTCAAGTGTTGCTTTGTAGGGACTTCATTGATTTCAGGATTTGATCCCAAAATGACTTTAGCTATAGGGCTATTGAAAGCCAGTAAGTACTGGGTAACTGTTTCTCCCTTGTTTTGGACTCCTGAGTGACATACACTTACACAAACTCAGTACCTTCCAGGCTGCAAGGCAACCTGACTGGCCATTCAGCTACCGGAACGGAATTCATGAATTCTAACTACCGCCACTTTGCAATATGATGTATACATAGTTTGACCTCCAGCCATTATCATCATCTCATACCCAACTTGGTGGATCCCGACAGTTACGAATTTCCTACTAGAACTTCAGGAAATTTAATCCTGTAATGAGTCATTAGTGAGCACTGAACTGATTTCTGAGTACTGCTGTAATTCTGTAAATATAATAAAATTATTAGGGATACAAAATGGAGAAAAAGTATTCATGAGTATTGACGATCGATAAGGTCTTCTATCAAAAAAGAAACTTGACTAAATGCATTTTTTTCTAAAATCACATATGTATATATCGCTTTTAACACGTTTGCTATTCACAACAAAAAAGCAAACAAATAACTTGAAATATTATGTCATTAATACTACTACCGCAAAGACGAGCACCCATCTTCCAGTAGTCAAACACACCCAGACACAGTCTGTGTATCTGTATCTGTAAAATTTTTTTACACCGTTAGTTAGTACTGTCAAAATAAGACACTTTCATAAGCAATATATATATATATATATATGTTCTTTTCAGTGAAAAGAAGTGATGTTTAAATTCGTGATTTATGTGTGTCTATTTATGTATTTAGTATATTAAATTATAAACACACGTTGACAGTGTCTGCTATAAAATAAGGTATTTAAATCATATATTCCATACAACAGCATGTGTATTAAAGGGTATATGCGTGTGTTATAGGCAGATGTTGAATTTTGACTCATTGAAGAATGACTTATTATTTATTAGTGTATAGTGTATAGTGAGAAAGTGCGACAAGCAATCAATAAAACAAAACGAATAAACAAAAGACAAACAAAATGTATATACCTTTATGTGTAAAATAGTAATAATAATAATAACATTAATAATAATGAAAGTATTCATAAGAAAAGCTGATATTAAAAAGAAAATCAATTTAACAATCATTTTATGAAAACAGAAAGGAGGAAGAGATCTTGATTCAGTCTGTGAATGATAAGCCAAATAGAAATACAATAAGGTATTCATAGATTAAAATAATAAAAAAAGACTATAAAGAAATATGCGTGTTTTAGTTCGATATATAGAATTGGTTAGGGAGACGGTGAAAATAACGATAATATTCTGTAGGAAGATAAAAAGTAAAGTGATATGTGCGCATATATTATGTGATTCTTAGATAAAGGATAATTATATCTGTTCATAAAGAAAGTAGGGAAAAGTAACTAGTTATAATCACAGTTGTTTTGTTGTGTCACAACCCAGTGGCGTATTATTTTGAAAATCTCTCCAAATGGTGAATATATCCCCTTCTTTAAACCTTGAGCATATATATATATATCATTATATATATCAAAGTGAAATACTCATTGTTTAAAAATTCCTATTTCGAAAGTGAAACTGAAGAGAGATTCAAACAATTTGTTTAAACATTATAATATTATTTATTGTGATATGCATAAATAAAGAGGTAACAAATATTGATCAATGAATGTTTTTTTTTTTGAGATTCAAAATAGATTGCTACTTTTGACATTTCAAGATTGAAATTAAGAATAAAATATTCATAGTACTAATGTTGTTTGCTTTTTTTTTTAACGACGAAGTTTAACATAATTTGATGGAAGCATACCGAATTGTCCAGTTCGCTGGACAGTACCATACATCCAACCCTCTGAGATGGGTTCACCATTCACGATAACATCGCCTGGCTTAAAGCTCACTTCATCATCGTCTTTGGCTTCATAGCTGTACTGGGCGATAAATGTCTACAAGGAGAAATTGATTAATACAATGTGTGATTATCAAATAATATTTAAAATCTTTACAAGTATTGCTTTGAACAGTAACGTCAAGTCAGTTAGAGCTTCCATATGATTCAGAGAATTGGCGCGAGAGCAAACAAAATCATTTCTAACAAGTGACTGTAAACTCTTACCAACAGCTGTCTTCACTCGATATTGAAAATTGGATGGTTAGCAGGAGAAAAAGCAACAAGGAACCCTGACAACGAACCAAATAAGAACCTATTGCCTGACTGATATGCAGAAGGAAATGGAGATGGATAGGAGTTACACTGAAGTGATTGTTGAGTGATATTACATTCCAGGCCCTCAAGTAGAAACGACGAGTCAGGCGTTTTATGAAGGTGACATGGAGGAGAGAATTTGAGGAGGAAATGAATGCTTACGCGCAGTAGTCGAGGCAGCTAACACAGTTCGCAGAGAATAGAATGAAATGACAATGTGCTGCGTCCCTCTTGGAATTCAAGAGACCAATAATAAAAAAACTGAAATTTGATTAGTATTCAAATAGGCTGATTTCAGGGGGACTTAAGTAGCGTTTATCATATGGTTTTAATATTGCCTAGAAAGGGAATTCATAAATAGGATTTTATGTAGTACAATGTGATTTAGATGAATGCATCTTTATCGCTGATATTTTGATACCAATCGTGATAACTGCAATCTGTTTTCATTCGGCTTAACGGGTCTATAATTTATTGAGATTCCTTAGGTGAAAGTGGTTATGTGTATTGACAGATTCCCTCTGTGTGCTCACATCTTAAAATCCAACATTAAAGCAAGCACATGTATGTCCACTTGATCGGATTGATTCCATTGCAGATTTTGTGACGAACCAACATCAGTTAGGAATTCTTTGGAAACCTAGGTGCACTGGACGGCTGTTTTGTCCTAGCTTTGGACTCTTCACCTGTGTGGAAGCACAACGCCAGGGCTAACATATCCAGAACTTTGAAGGTTACAAGGTCAAAGTAACTGACCATTCAGATACTTTGGTCCGAGCTCAAAGATTCGTAGATCCTAACTCTGTCAATTCATAATATGGCACTACCGTCAACCGTCAGCGTCGGTGGCATAGCGGTTAGGACGCTCGCCGACCATGCACATGGTCCGGGGTTCAATCCCCGGCTGATTCACCCCTTTACCTCGCTAAGCCAGAAATAATGATGGTGAAGAGGAAAGGTTGGGCATAGGGCTAGCAACCCCATCCTGTAAAATAAACACTGCTACAGAAACTTCAAGCCACTAGCTTGAAGCCCTATGTTCCACTGGGGAACGTGAAGGAAAAAAACCGTCAACCGATGACATTGATGGGCATCCGTTTCATCTCGACATGGTGGACCCCGCTGGCTAAGATTTCTCATTACCAGTGATTATCTGAGTGGTGTTGGTTCGTGACAGAATCTACATTGAAACATGTATACTAATTATTCCAATTTGTTTCTCCTAAATACTGGGTAGGTAATTGCTTTTCATTGTGATAGTTAAGGGAAACAAGAGGATCTTAATATTTTTTTTGCTTTTTGTTCTAAACTTCTCATCATTACAAACAATGAACACTTCTCATGATTATAAATTACATTCAATAATGAAAATATTGCAACCGATTGATGAGTGAGTTTTGAAATAAATACAAACATACGTATACACCATCGTCTCTGTAAACTGATGAAGAATGAATATCTCAGTGATAAGATTTCTGAAAGCATAAAGCTTAGATTTCTTTTATGTGTCGAAACCCACTTATCTTAAGACTATACCTCACACTGTATAGGCCTATGTATTTAGGGGTTGTAACGAGTAATTTATTGATTTATCAGCATTCAAAGCTCAAAGTTATTTGTTATTAAATGAAGACGAAATCTCAGAGGTATGACAATGTTACAGTAACTACATGGCATCACAAAAGTGCAATAACAACATATTAATGTGTCCAATGAAGACTTGAGTCGTAAGTTTGAAGCCATCCCTGAATATGATATGAAGTTTTGAATTTGTATAATTGTCAAATATCTGTTCAAAAATTAAAGGTATATACACAAACAAAAGTTATATTACTAGTTTATAACGTACCCCACCAAAACCTGAGTTGTTATGTATATGCGGTGCATTGTTATGGAAGCTATAAATAGAATAAGCGAAAACATTGAAGACTTTAATTAAAAGGCCTATTATTTATATTATTTGAGCACTGGACACTTTTCGTTGACTGACTTTATGTTTAGTTAGACCTAATGAAATGGTAATGACAGAAATAAATGATACGAAAAGATGAATAATGCTGTTTAAAGTCACCTATTATTCACCATGAGATTTTTAATAAAAACCAGTAGACTGAGGATATAGATATGTATATAACGCTTTCAGTGGGGCCCTGAATATTCAGAAAAGTATGAAAGATAATTTCAATTCAATAAGCAACCATTGAAGATTCACCAAAAATGAAGAAAGACTAAAAAAGGGTGTTCAGTGTTAGGCTTAACCACATTGATCGCTTTCGTTATATGAGAGATTATAATTACTGTTTCCTTTAATTCCTAGAGGAAGATGGAGCTTCAGCCACACGTCTGCATTGCGTCCAGTTCTCCACCAACGTTTTCATCTGGCTCCACGTCTGCCCACCTGCTTTCATCTCCTCTTCGCATGACCTCCTTCATGTCACCCTCACTCGCCGCTTCCTATTCGGGTTCCACTCGAGCGATGGCCTGGCGTGTGATGTCACTCACTTGATGGTTTCCTTAGAGTATGGCCAATCCATTTCTTTCTGAAAATTCTTTTCACAGTTGGTTTCTGGTTGGTTCGCTCCCAGAGATCCCTATTGCTGATGTTTTCTGGCCGGCCATCTGATCTTGAGTACTGAGTGAAGACGGCTGTTGATGAAGTGTCTAGTTTGATCGAAGTGCCCTTCGTGACGCGGCGCCAAGTCTCTTATCTGTATAGTGAGTAGCACTGACTTCAAATTGTAGCTGAAAATCCGGATCTTATTTTTCATGCTGAGTGCTGTTGATCTCCACACAGACTTGAGAGTAATGAAAGCTTGCACTGCTTTCTCGATCCTCGCTTTGATATCCTCATCAGTTCCGCCTGTAGTTTATAATCCCCTTACAAATTTGTTTGTTTATTAAAGCTCAGCTATTGGGGACAGAGTTTTCATGTACTAGGCTAAGAGCTACACTTATCGTGTAAGGGTTGGTGATACTACCCGCTTGTTCATGCTGAAGAAGGTTGAGCGGGATTCTGACACGTCACCCATACACTGAAAACCAAGTGTTTAAGGCAATCAGTCATTCCCCTTCCCCTGTATAAAAATTTCCGATGTTTAAACATGAAAACTATAGCAGTTTTAAAGTATGGAAGGAGGAAACTCATAATTTACTGTCATATGACATCAAATAGTGTTCAAAATAAGATCGCTATGAGCACAGAGCTATTTCCAAAGTAGTCAATTGTCATATAAAAAAAAAGGAGTTCAGCAAACAGTTACTCTTTTGAGCGATATCTTTCTCAAGCTGTACAATCGTATGTATATACAGTAAATTTTCATAGCAAACACAAGAATGTTTCCAAAGATTTGTTATTGAACTGTAAGTTTTAGATAACAATTACACAACACTGGGAGTGTTATTCGGGTAGGAACTAAAAATAAAATCGAATAAGTAAATTGAGTGACGCAGTGCAATTGACAAGATTTAGTGGAAATGAACTAAAATTGAAAGACAGTCAAGTTAAAATCAGTTGCCTAAGAATGACAGGACTTCCAAGATAATATTTGCAAATTATTTATATTATATTTATTTTGTATATTGACTTTTTTCCCTATGGGTGACTAGGTATCTTTCGATCTGAGAATATTTTAATTTCCATCCCCTTTTTTTGTTCTTTTGCATTCTTTGTGGAAAATAAGGCCTCAGGTTTTCAGTTTTGAATTTTCAGTTACAGGGGTGTCATTCTGTTTTACAGGGTGGGGTTGGTAGCCTCACACCCCACCTTCTCTGTTCACCGTACTTAAAACCGGCTAAGCAAAGTCTAGGTGTGTGTCGGCTGGGGATCGAACCACCGATCACGTGCGTGGTTGGTGAGCATTCCATTGCTGTACCATTGGCGCACAAAGCTGATTGCTTCAGGACCTATTCGCGTATCCGACCTGTAACTGGAAGTTCTTCATTGTCCATCGCTTATTGAGTTCTCACGCTTCTTCTTCAGTGGCTATTTTACTGCTGTATGGATTGTCATTGTTTGTCTGAAGACGTTACTCCATGCACTACTTACATCCGCTTACAAGTAGAAAGCACCATGCTATTACATTTTTGATTGGAAACGCTTTTGCTTTTTACACTCACCTTATAGGTGTTGAATGTTTAGTGTTATGTGATTAACTATAAATTTTTGCACTTTGTGTGCGTCGGTGGCACAGTGGTTAGGACTCTCGCCGACCATGCACATGGTCCGGGGTTCGATCCCCTGCCGGCGCACACCCGATATCTATGGTCGGCCTGAATTTGGGCTACCGATATCCATGCTGAAAATTCCACACTTGTACTGAAAATACGGTGTGGAATCAAGCTGTAAATCAAATAAATAAATAAAATAAAAATAAATATTTATGTGTTCAAAAAGAAGCAGTTATTAGTATTTCCTTGCCCCGGTAACTGGATGTCCTTATTCTTTCTTTCATCTGGTTATGTAATCATTGGCTTTAACCTCAACCCTTTGATATTGGTTAATTTTGCTTGTCTCTTGTTTCTATGATTTGAGTTGAACTCAGTAGATTGTTACCTAATTTATAAGCCGCTCAGCATCTTACGCATCTCTTGTCTTAATTACGTAACTTTGTTACCATTGTATGCAGCAGCTGATGAGAAGCCAAAGAAACAAACAATGATGGTACCATATTATTCTGCACAAACCACACTGTTGTTCTTGCTTTATTCAAATTCATCAAGGGGAATAAATGCATAAAGAGATTTATATTCCCTTTTAAAGTTCATATGAATAAGATATAACTAACATAAAGTTTTGAAATATGTTCCAGTAAGTTGTAAAGTGAAGCTCTACACCACTACACTACACTGGAGAATGATTCTGCTTAGAAGTGCATCAAAATCCTCAACTCAGTTGTGACAAACTCCGTGGTAGATATTCGAATTCTTGTTTGTAATTATATAAATTATAGCGACTATCTTTAGTTATATAAATATCTGCTTTCATGAATCCTTTTCTGAAGTTGAACAGTTTTTATTGGTATAACAAATACAAACAAAACAGAGGAAGAAAACCGCGTGGAATGATTGACAATGCTTACACTGGATGTAGGTATACGTTTCGATGAAAAACACATAGCTATTTAAATCTCACAGGCATTTTAAAAAATACTTCTCTTGAAAAGTTATTCAACATTTAACAGGCAAAATCTGCTAAATCTCTAGCAATTAATGGTATAATATTTCAAAATATTATCAATAAATTGCACAGAAAACAATTCAACATCAAACAGACTAGAAGTATACAATATTTTGAAATAGTAACACTAGCTTACTTTAGATTAAGTGTTGAACCCCGAGGTAAATTGATAGTTTCTGAAGAGCCACCATTGTAAGTGTTATTCACCACAGCATTATTGTTCACAGCTGGTGAAGCTAAAGAATAAGCCAAAAGGAAAACAAGGTTCCAACCAAGAGAAGAATTTAAGTTCAAAATGAGCATAGATAATTCTTATATTTATATGTATATTTAAGGTTGATTGAGACAATGTAGAAATACTACGAAAGGGTTTTCAATCACTTAAAGCCAGAAGAACCTCTGAAGCATTGCAAATTTCAGCTAAGTCGAATGCAGTATTTAGGAGGAAAGGAATACACCAGTCAACCATATGATTATTATTTTTCATTCCTTAGAACAATAGTGGTGTTATTTATTACAGGGTGAGATTGCTATTCTCAAGCGCTACCTTCCCATTTTCTCGGCCTTTCTACTGACTAGGAGGTGATAACAGGTGTGTTGAGCAGAAATCAAAACCGAAACTTCCACTCGGCTTGCGAGTATTTCAGTATTTAAACCACCAACGTACCTCAACTATATGACAGAGTGTAATTAAAAAAAATACCCTTTGAACAATAATCACAATTATCACTCATGAGTAAACGTGCTTTTTGTGCAATAAATAACACACCAACATATTCACTTTTTAGGCTATTCAACATTTCGGCAAGAAGTGACTATAATCGTAAGAATATATGAAGAATGATCATATGTGAACAGTGTGTACAAGTATTTGATTGGTGGATGGTGACTAGCAGTGGAATCCAGGATGCGCATTTCGTCCTATTTGGCACTGGGTTCGAGCCTCGGTGGGAACATCATCACTCACTGAGAAATGCAGGTACATCCAGATGACGAGTCCCAGATAGGACGAAATGCGCATCCTGGATTCCACTGCCAGTCACCATCCACCAATTAAATACTAATTAAATGCCCAGACACCGTCGAAGCAACTGCTCAAGAAGCCGACATATCAATCTGAGACCGAACACTTCGGTCCAATCAGTCGACGGGAAAATCTAAAATTCAATTAAAGTGTGTACAAGTATTCACCTACATTTTATCTTCATACGAGTTGATTTTATTTTATGCTATATTTGACTACATGTTTTGAATTTTAGTAAAATTAGAATAACTCTTCAAGAGAAAATGTAGCTGGCATACACAACAACCTCTGGAAGATCTAGATTTGATGTACTTAACATTCTGAGTTTAAATGATCTTATAGACACCCTTCTTAAAGTGATAAGTGTCACAAAACTTTGGTTGATTTCCTTTATGACTGAATGGTGTCAAAGAATAAGTCAGTGGGATTTTCAAGTGAAATAGCTCGGAAGTCATTAATCCGGTTTCAGGGTAACCAACCCGGCTTTAAAATATGTTTAGCAAAGTCTGTGAGGAGGTTGAAATAATCGCGATTTATTTTTATTCTGTATGAAGGCTTAAGAAGACTGAGATGTCATTTCTTTAGCACAGTTTAGCTGCTATACCTTTTTCAGAGTCATGTAGATTGGATTTAAAGTGAGTTAGGTCACAATTTTATAGGGCTCAGACATAACACATCAGTATATTCCTTACGTATTTTGATTTAAAGCGCAGAGAACATGAATTGCTTAGAAGATGAAGGTTTTATAGACGTCACAGACACAGCCAATGATACAGATAGGGCCTGATGTCAACTTTTCGGGGACATATGACAAAATCAGAGAGGTAATGTCAAATAAAGGCTACTGAAAATCTAATTATCAAACGATCACTGAGTGAAAAACCTAGACAGAGTGACTCAAAAGCACTCTACCCGATGAAGAGATGTTGACTCATAAGTATGGGGTACATTTTCCGTGCTTTACACCCATCTGTCGTTTACCATTAGTTTTCTCCCCTTTCTCATCTTCACTATCACATTTTCACTTCATACTGCTTTCAGGAAATGCAGTCAGTAAGCAACGCTCCAGGTGCGATTTCCTTATAATACAGTCGTGAGATAAAACATTTCCAAGTTTGTAAACATAAAGAAGTACAGTTTATAAGTAGAAATAATTTTGAAATACATATGCAAGTTTGCAGGCTGAAAAACCCTACCTTTAGGCATAAATCCGACCTAAACAAACTGTTTGGCTCTTACGAGGTATGCAACATAGACGGCACTGAAATAGAAACTAAATCGGAAATTAAATACCTAGGTGTCATTCTATCTGCTGATCTCTCCTGGTCGTCTCATATCTTAGAAATTTCTAAGAAAATATTCCGTCTAACCTTCTACATTAAGAAGTTAAAACATTCTGGTATTACCCAACCCTTACTCCTACAATTCGTTAATTCTCGCATCCTGCCTATTATTCTCTATTGTTCCCCCTTAGTTTTTCCCGGGCTACTGAAGAAAGACTATACCTTATTACGCAGGATGTTAAAGGTTGTCAGCAGGATAAGCAACGACGTGCCACTTAACCAGCTTGTTAATATTCTGGTCGACAGGCATTTGGACTCATGTGAAAAATGGGCTAAATCCATTCTGTCTAACTCACACCACCCTCTTCATTCACAACTCTCCCCTTGCATCTCATCAGGCAGAACCACAAGCCTATATAGAAAAGTATATGCTCGCACTAGCAAGTACAAAAACTCAACCATACCCTACTTAGCTCGTGTTCTGTACGATAAAAGAGCATTAGACGTGATGCCTATAAATTACTAAATAGTCAGTAGGACAACTGGATCTCGTCTATCCAACCCACATCATTTACAGGTACAACATTTTCTTTCTTTCTTTTCCTTTTCTCTCTCTTCTTTTTCCGTTATGTGCTGCTTTGTCTCTTTCTCTTGCTTACGCCAGTTAATAAAGATAGCTCCCACTTTTCTAACACCTTCAAACACTGTTTCAGCTTTACCTTTGCTACTGACATGCCAATGTATTGTTGTAATAATGAAATGTGGTTTCCTCAATCTATGTAGAATTCTATTTATTGATAATGTACTAACTGGATGCAATACTGTAGTAAAAATGCTGAGAATTCCATTCTGTATCACAAGTACTGTTTTGGAATAAAGCAAATTATTATTATTATTAATAAAACAGCGTTGTTGTCTTCACTGACTGAAATACACGAATTCATATATCTAGAGATGGTTTTGACACTCCACAATACCAAAGATGAAGTACGTGAATGCCTTCATAGATCTCTTTAGAGATTTTTAAAAGAATTCCGGTCAATTAAGCAGAAAGGTATCTTAAAGTATTTTGTTCTTACAACTGGCCGTGATAAAAGATCCGTTTAAAGACTATTCTCGTCTTTGAAATGCTTGATACCAAACTAACTGACTGGCAGTATAGATTTTTGGTTTTCTACCAGCCTAAGCTGAGTAGGCTGATATTCGTGAACTTCAGTGTTGGTTACGATTTCATAGGAGGACTCTAGCAAGCCATATATGAAAGTAGGTGATTCATTTATTGAAGCATTCTTTATGAAAAACTAGTTAGTTGGAAGCACATTTATTCTTTTACTAAAGACTGTAAAGCACATCACCCTTAATGAAGTTGTATGATAACAGTTATAAGTCAGTTTATCACTCTATATGACTTCATAAAACAAAATGAGTGTGATATCTGATCCAGTATTCAAATTCAATGTATGATTCAGTAGTAAGTTTGTTGATCCAAAAACACTAAATTTTCTTCGGTGAAAACAACATTTCTAGAACAAAACAGATGATAGAAGTAATGTGGAACAGTTGTTTAGGGTTATAATAGCTTCGGTTACTTTACACCAGGAAGAGTTGTATACAGATTTTAATTCTTCAAGAAACTATTTTTGAAGGATATCATTTGTGTTGTTCTGATACGGTAGGTGAAAACAGGGAAGATGAAACAAAATATCACTGGGATAACTACGTCAAGAAATCTCCTGGATTGACCAACACCAAAATTCGTCTAGAAATACCATCTAAAGACACAGAACTGTCAGAGAACACCAATCTTCCGATTAAATCATAAGTCTTGAAGGCTATAAATTTACTGAAAGTAGGGGAGGTAGCAGAACCAGATGGAATCACCTCGTGACCTTGGAGAACATTTTAAAGCGACTACTAAAGATGGTGTGAAATGGTGTGGAATACAGGTTACCTTGCAAAGAAGGGTGCGGAATAATGCTCCAGTCCACCTTAACGAAAGTATTATCATAGAGGGAAAAATCCGCCCGCAACAAGCTGGATTCAGGAAAAGCAAATCATGCTCGGGTTAAATTACAGCACTATGCATCATCATCTAACAGAGCTTAGTATGGCAGCCAGCTCTTTACTTCACCTTGATCAACCTTGAAAATGTCCTTGCCAGCGTTGACTATGAAGTAATTCGGAAACTGCTTCAACACTAGGTGGTGCGGCACCACCAAAACTTCTATAAATCCTCATTTGGCTGCTATATACCGATGCCACATGTCAAGTAATTCACAAAGGAAAACTCGATGAAGCCTTTGAAGTGAAGACAGGAGTAAGACAAAGTTGTCTACTGTAATTGATATCTTCTCTGGTTGTGTTGGACTGGAACATACGGTGGGCTGTGAGAAGCGAGAAAACAGGAGTACATTGGGCCGACAAGAATACTCAAGAATATTTGGATTTTGCGGAAGATTTATGTTTAATGTCATGCAAACTTGAAGATCTTCAGGTGGAAACGAAGAATTTAGCAGAAGAAACAACGAAGACAGGACTTCAAGTGAACATAGAGAAGATAGAGGTGGTGAAGATACCTAACCAACAACAACTAGCACCAAACACCATCAGTGGAAGAAATCTGAGTGAAGTCGTGTCTGTCGCTTACCTCGTCAGCATCATTTCATCTATAAGATGAAAGGATGAGGATATTAAGGTCAGCCAGGATCGGAAGACTAGGATATATGTTAGATACTCTGAAATCAGTGTGTAGATCTACAACATTCAGTCAGAACAAGGAATAAGGACCGACTTTTCAATACATGACGAGTCGGTGCTTGTATATAGTTCAGAAAAATGGACACACACGTCAGTAAAAGTATTTCTACCAACTGCAAGCTTTCATCAACAGGTACTTTCTTCCGCTACTGTAGATCAGATTGCCAACTGAAACGGGTAGGCAGTAAGGAACTCTAGGTTGACGGCGTATATGTAGAAGAGGATGAAGATGGATTAGGCATACAGAGAGGAGACAGTAGGCCCCAAGTTGAACCTGAATAGGAAGCGACGAGTTAGACGTCCGAGACGGTCTTGAAGAAGAGCATGTAAGGATGAAATAGAGGCTTGAGGGCAACTTTTTACAGTCAAATGAAAGTACACTTGGATTCGGGTACATCAACACAAGTTTGAAGCGTTTATGCATCATAAATATTTAAAAATCATACCGTATTACTTCTGTAAAGGTGAATTAACTCTAGAGAAGTATAAATTCACTTATTTCTTTTTACTAATGATAAATAATAAGCACCAAAATGTTAGGAATTATTAATGAAAGGATAAAGTACACTAAAAACCCACTGCATCATATATATAAGTACGATACAGTTTAAAATTTTGCTACAACCTAAATGTTATATAAAAGCAAAACTTTCTAAACATGAAATTATTCGTCACTATAAACTGTGCAGTTATAAGCAAGCTTGCTGGTAAGTAAGCGGTACAACCTTTGGAAAATAACATCCATAGAGGGACTTCCCTTCACATTGAAATTAGCGCTAAAGTTGTCGTCTAGGTGGGAAATGAAAGCTCTGCAATTAAACTACCCACTTCAGCAAACATGAACACACTAGAAACTTTCCTCACTAGGCAGAATTAACAGTGAAACGAACTAGTTCTGCAGAATTTCTCAAATAACACATTTTATGTTGTCATGAAAAGACATTAGGTTAAATACGGATAAATAGGAAATACCCCCTAAAATCCCCTTATCATTCCTATGGTAAGTATATGACAAAAGGGTTTCAGCCACTTTTTGTTTATTCAGTTAGAGTTAAGCATGATTTAAATTTCACCAAACGTTTTTGTCGTAATCTTGGAAAATTAAAATAGCATTAATTGCGCAAAAAACCTCATTAATAAGTAGTGCTCAAAAGTGGGATAAATTTGTTTATTTTGTGCTCTTGTCTGTATATATACGCTATATATATATTTATACACACACATACACACACTATGTTGTTAGACTTTACCTTGAGTATTTATCGTAATCGAATGACAAGATCCAGCACGACTAAGTCCATTTTGACTTGTCGGTGATGAAATTGCCTGATCATAATGATGGTGATGATGTATTGAGTCAATGTATAATGGACATCCATTATGAGCTGATGATGATCTACGGCGTATGCCTAAAAAAGTTTGTTTCATACATATATATTGGTAAGAAGGTAAAGTACAAATAGAACTGTAGAACAATGTAACAGTTTCAATGGCACTATGACTGTGTGGAGTCTGATTATATTTACTACGCACACTAATAGAAACGACGAATTGTTTCATTGAAACTTTTCAAGTAAAAGCAGTTACATTGGTAGAACATAAAGAAGGGCATACTTCCGATTTTCTGAACATGTACCAAAAAGCCTATGTGTAAAGGGAACAAATGCTTTAAATAGTGCCATCGCCAGGCACCTCCTTGACATGGGTCATGAGGTGAACGTCGCAAGATCGTTCAAAATTATGAATAGGCAAAAGAGTTCATTTCCCCTTAAGTTTGCCGAAGCAATCTCCATCAAAGCGCCTGAAACCCGATTTATGCGTTCAGAGAGAAGTGGTTATCAGTCTTTCCTTGCCCACCTGGTAACTGGATATTTTCACCCTTTCTTTCATCTGATTACGTTTTCATTGTGTATGGTCAGTATTGTTCAGGATAAAGTGTTTATTATTATATATGTTATTATTGTATGCTTATATTGATTGATTTTTGTTTCAAAATGAATCTCTGTGTCAGTATGTTAATATTGTTTCTGTAGATATACTTAATAGTGACTTTGACCTGTAAGCAGCTGATGAGAAGCCAACGAAATAAATGATGGTACCATTTTATTCTGCAAAAGCTGTTGTTCTTGCTTCATTCAAATTCATTAAAGGGAATATATGTATGAAAGGCAAGTTAGTTAGGTAGTCAGTTAACCTGAGTAAGAATAGGAGCATGGCAAGTTAAGACATCTTTTTAGCGGACATTTTGGCAAAACTTATGCAAGAAAGACAGTGCTAATAGATGAATTGATTGATTTCATCAGTAAATGTTACTGACAAAGACAGTAGGAGAAAATACTAAGTTTAGTGATCAGCAGCAGTAGTTCAAGGGAGGTCGACAGAATGGCCATAGAAACATTAAGTAATCAGTTGGAATTACTTAGCATAAGTACTCCTCTAAATGTTTTCAAAACTGTTCACTATGATCCCTGGTTTCTGTGACAGACATTTAAGTTATGCTTTTCACATTATTCGAAATGCACTCGCTTCACTAAAATCTTTTGGTGATCGTCAAAATTTATCAAAAACTTCTATCCTTTAAAGTAGTTGAGAAATAAAAGATGTAAGAGATAGATGACAGTACTTTCAACCGATAAACACAGAAGAAATTGTTATGAAATATCGATAAAGGAAGAAAGACCAGATTTGCAATATAAGATGATATCATTCTATTTCAGAGGTCCTCATCAGCTGCACACCACTACCTGAAATTACACTGGTTATAAATAATGATAATAACATACTTCAATGTCTGAATGGTAGTAGAAAAAACACTATAGACAATATGCCTGCAGAAAGACAGTGTAATCAATCTCTCACTCTCTTGGTAACTGCATTTCGATTACATTGATAGAGCATTCGTATTAGTGATTTCAGCTCATTGAAAAAGTTTCCTATTTTTCAAACTGTAAACTTCTTGATTTGCTACATAAATCTACCAGCTGACACTGTTTATTAGATTTTCCAGTTTTCTATCTTCTCCTTTCCTCTCCTTTTCTATTTTGAAAGCATATGAATTGACGGTAACTTAGACCAAAATTATAGTGCTTATATTTCGGATGCGTTAATTTTATAGTGTTTTCTTTACTACTATTCAAACATTAAAGTGTGTTATTGTCATTATTTATAACCATTGTAATTTCAAGTAGTGGTGTGCAGCTGATGAGGACCTGTGAAATAGAATGATGACTTCAATTTATACTGCAAATCTGGTCTTTCTTTTTTTTATCGAAATTTATCAAGGGAACCGAATGTATGAATTAATATGAAATACAATGAGTATATGTCTCTTATTCTTTCACTTCTCTAGGCAGCATCGTTTCAATTGCAGGCGGCACGGATGAAGATGACAAAGACAGGATCGGAAAGGCAAGATGGACCCTTATTAATCCGAAATAATTTTGGAAACATACTGCAATCGCCAAAAAGAAGAAGACTCATATCTTCAACACTAATGTCAAGCCAATTCTTCTGTATGGTTCACAGACTTGGTGTGGTGGTCACCAAAAGCATTCCCAACAGACTACTGAATACTCTGATCAACAGCTGCCTTCGCTCCATACTGAAGATCGGATGGTCAGAATGGAACTGTGGCAATCAACCAGTCAAAAGCCTACTGCCCAACAGATATACCGAAGAAAATGGAGAAGGATTGAACATACGCTTAGAAGACCACTGAGTGACATCACGCGCCAAGCTTTCAAGTAGAACTCGGATGGGGAACGAGGAGTTGGACGCCCAAATGTGACATGTAAGAGTTTGCGTGAGGAGGAGATGATAGCTTATGGTTAAACGTGGACCTAGTTAAAGACGACTGCAGGAAATAAGATGAAGTTCAGATGTGCTGCTAAAGCCCTTATTCCACTCAGAACCTAGGGGAATAATAGTAGAATACGTCTGTTCTTACCACAAAAGTGTCTTAATGAAAAGTAAAAAGTAAAATTCATCGCTACACCAATTAAGCTCATTACTAGTAGCTCATTCTATAAATAAAGACATATGTGGAGATCATCCCAATTGAATAATAAACTGTATTTTCACTGTAACTGAATACGGGATACTTTTGTATAACTTCAAAGCCAGTGACGAAAAGATACGTGTGTAGCTCCTCAACAATATCTGGTGTACTCAGAAACAGTGGAAGGTCAATTTTTAGGTCGTTTTCTGTACTTTGTAGGACGAAACTGTTTCGCCGAACAGTTTGTGTCTAAGAGCACTGTGATAGCTCTAAATTTTAGTGATTCTGTTAAAAATTCTACTGACTTAAATTGTGATATGCAATGAGTTTAAGAACCAATGAAACTAACCTGTTGAATTTGAAAATGTGTGTGGCGACGTGCAATGATTATTTAGTCCAAGTCTAGCAGGTGGAGGTGTAACTGATGACCCACAATGACTATTATATGGTGCTGAACCAGTGCGTGACTCTGAAAGAAAAGAAAAAAGATCAAAAGAATATCAGACAACTGAAATAACTCTGCTTCTTGATTCTGTTCAACAGCTCTGCATTACTGGAAATGCAACAACACTTAAGCAATTTAATCTTGTTTAAATGATTCAGTAAATTTTGAATTCGCAGATGAAAAATTCACGTCACTGAAATGACCGATGAGCAATAGAGATATGGAGGCTGTTGTCGTTTTTACAAGGATCCTTAGTAGTATGAATGTCTTCAAAGGCTAACTCAGAATATTCAGTAATGATAAATAATTTTTACTTTATGCCTAAATGTCTCAATAATTTCGATTTATGTTTTGTTGAAGAGTTTCAAAATATGACCATACAGTTTAGTGCTTCTGTAGTACTCCTGTCACAATATTTTAGAAAGCTCCAGATCGCAATATTCGATAAGGAATTACTAGAGAAATTAAGTCAGATGGAGGGACAGAGTTGTTACAGTCGACAATTTCACTTAAGGACGTTAACAAATTGAATAACTGTGGATGCTTATTGAAAGTGAGGTTAAATTCTCAGATGGTATTTAATAAATAAACTAGAATCACCAACCACCATGAGTTAGAAAATCATCAGGTAGTACTGCACATCCAGGAACAGTCTAAAACTAGAATGAAGAAACTGTTCAGTACTCGCTTTCTTCAGCTGTTCTCTAGTTAATGTTAGTTCGTGAAAAAATTCACGGTGAAATCAATTGAAAGTCTTTAAACCCATCATGTGAAGTGAACAGTATAGTGTGACAGAGTTATTACCGACTGACTATTGTAACTCTTAGCAAAATGTTTGGTGGGTAAAGGGACTTGTGTTTTTTATTCCTTCGCGTTCCGAGTGGAACATAGGGCTTCAAGCTAGAAGCTCGAAGTTTCTGTAGCAGTGTTTATTTTTACAGGATGGGGTTGCTAGCCACATGCCCAACCTTTCCTCTTTACCAGCTTTTATTTCTGGTTTAGAGAGGTAAAGGAGTGCGTCGGCCGAGAATAGAACCCCGGACCTTGTGCATGGTCGGCGAGTGTCCTAACCGCTATGCCACCAACGACCAAAGAGACTTGTTAAGAAAACTTAATTCTAAATTTCTTGCTTTCATTGGTGAATTAACTGACTGTTTTACAGCAGAATAAATATTGAAATCCGTAACATCGTATCAGCTTCTTAGAATTTGCTGATGTCCCTTGTGAAGGGATTTCCAAAAATCACACAGCTAAAATTAAAATTTTAGTCTGCTTCTGCACAACTACACATATCATCCAGAATTGTTCAACTAATAGATTCTATTCAAGTATTGGTTTGTAGGGATTTGATTGATTGGTTACAGAACCATTGGAAAACCTGCAGGGAGTACTGGACAGCTGTTTCATCCTATGTTGTGGATTGGCAGAAGTTAGAATTCATGGGCCATTGGATCAGGTCCCAGTGGCTTAATAGTCTACGAGCTAGCTCGCCTTGTAACCAGAAGGTCTTGGTTTCGAATCCTGGCGGTGGGTGCGCACTGGTGAAGAGTCCCAAATCAGGACGAAACAGGTATCCAGCACTACCTAGTCGTTTTCCAATGGGTCTCTAACCGATGTCAGCTCATGATGAGATTCTCTTCAATTTTTTTTTCCTTCACGTTCCCCAGTGGAACATAGGGCTTCAAGCTAGTGGCTTGAAGTTTCTGTAGCAGTGTTTATTTTACATGATGGGGTTGCTAGTTTCATGCCCAACCTTTCCTCTTCACCAGCATTATTTCTGGCCGTGAGCCGGCCGGGGATCGAACCCCGGACCATGTGCATGGTTGGTGAGCGTCCTAACCGCTATGCCACCGACGCACCGCATAGTTTAACTTAAATATGTAATCAGCTAAAGTGAAATGGAATACTCAGAAGGAAGCTTAGTGTTCAGTTGTTTGAGTAGGAAATAAGTCAAAACACAGTAGTCTCTGTGATAAAATCAAGTCACTTCGTGATCAAACTTGAGATCGATCGAGTCCCTGCAAACAAACACCTGGAAATTAATCCATTGCTCACTAGAGACTGACGACAAGATCAAGCTGCTTGGAGCTCTAGTGGGAAGTCGTGACTAGCAGGGTCCACCAAGTCCGGTGGGGGAACAAACACTCACCGATAATATTGACTAGTGGTGGCGTCATACGCCAACAATTGGCGGAAGTTAGAGTTTATAGGTCATTAAATTCCATCCCAATGTCGAAATGGTCAGTGAGCTCGCTTTGTAACCTAAAAGACCTTGGTTCCACCCCTGGTGGGATCATAGGTGTGCACTTTCGGAGGGTCCAAAACCAGAACAAGACAGCTGTTTAGTACTCCCTGGTACTCCAATGGTTCTCTAACTGAAGTCAGTTCAGTATCAAACCTGATAAACGTTTATTTGTCTTATCACTCAAAGTTACTAATTTCATACATCACAAAAGCTGTTTTAAAAACACGCAGTCCACATGATTCATCATCAGTGGTTCCCACATATGCATACACCTACATACACTTTTAGATTTTTAATAACTTTGTTGTCTGTAACTTTGGATGCTGACGAGATAAACATAAAGCAAAGAACGTTCATGAAAGAAAAAACTTATCACTCAGCTAAAATAAATCCCTCAAGGATATACTTAATACTAGAGAAATGAATTAAAAGGATATATTCCTCATATAATTGACTTGTAGATAAAATAATAATATCAGATTAAACATGTATGAATAATAAATAATAGTAATATTTGCGGCAATAGTTAAGACAAAAGTGAAATCTGATATATAATCATCAAAGGATTAAAAAGGTAATTCAAAGTAAACTGAATCATCATTTACATTAAACCACAAAAGATAAAGAAACTGAAACTTAGTAGTCAATAAATTGAGGATATGTTAAGTATTTCAAAGAGATTTTATTCTATGCCTCAATTTCCTTCCAATTATTACTCTGGAAAAGTTGAAAATTGCTCAGTGAATATATATCAGGGATTAACTTTTCCAATTCATGCCAATGATGAAGCCTACTGAGAGTTATCAAGAGAAGAAGAACAAGTCTGTACTAATGATAAGAACAAAATAATAAGAGTAACATTTAGTTTATGGCTTTTAGTGATCGTTGGATTACTATCCAGGTTTTGTTGAAATCGTTATCAAATAATTTTCCCCAATTTTTCCTTGTGTATGATAAAAAAGAACATAAATTGTATCTAAGCAGCATCGTTTTAACTACGTATGGCATGGATGACGATGTTAAGGCCGGCAAGGGTTGGAAAAGCAAAACAGACCTTCGTTAATCTAAAATCATTGTAAAAATCTACTGTACTCACCATAAAGAACAGTACTCGGATTCTCAACAATAATGTGAAGTCAACCAGTACTTCTGTATAGTTCAGAGGATTAGTACGAGCGTTACCAAGAGAATTTTGAACAGGCTACTGAATACTTTTGTCAAAAGCTGCCTTCGCTCCATACAGAAGGTCAGATGGTCAGAAAGTATTAGCAACAAGGAACTCTAGCAGGAGAAGAACTAACCAAGAGCCTATTGCCTAACAAATATACCGAATGGAAAGAAGACAGGTTGGAGACAAACTGGGGAAATTGTTGAGGGAAATCACGCACCAGATTCTCGAGTAGAATCCTACATGGGACTTATCGTAAGAGGAGAGGATAGCTTACAGGCATCGTGAAGCCGGCTAAAAAGGACTACAGAGAAGAGGATGAAAAAAAGATGTTCTGTTGAAGCCCTATGTTCCACTCAGAACTCAAGTGAATAATTATAATACAGCTAGTGACAGAGGAAAAAGGCAGTAAGCAGTGGTACAGTACCGACAAAAGTCGTGCTTTTCTAAAACATCACAAATACAGTAAACCAACACAAATAAAGGAGAAGGACACGGTGTGAAACAAATTAGTGTGGGCTAGACTAATATATGAAACCCTCAAATTGAATAAATAAAATCAAGTTTTCTATATATATATATATTGAAATAAAGTCGTAGATGGCTACATTCACATCCGAACGTTCTACCTATTAAACATGCATTTATTGACCTGTCAAAAGAAACTTTAGTATTAAGGCAGTTACTTAATTATGGGGGCCTGTTTGAATCACTGGGCTACCTGAATTTTCCTTCACACCAATATATCACATTTTCTGTAATTCTTATTGTTTAAACTATCCAATTATTTTCTTGACTCTCAAAGTGTACTCATGTACATTTTTAATTTGCTTTCAAACCACCGGTGTGCAGTTTAGGAGACGAAAGAAAAATACCATATGGGATTAGTCTCTGCTTCGAATCAAACAGCAGTGCTTCATATGATGTATTATAGACTGATATTTTGCTCGAAGACCTAGGCTGGAGAGAAAATGTTGTGCATTAAATTAATAGACAGAAGACCAGTAGTTCAGCGAAGAGTCTCTTTTCGGCGAATTCATTTTCATAGCTGTACAATCGCAAATATATTTATGGTTGTTTTTTATGTGTGTGTACATCAAATTTGCCAAATAAAAATACAGTTAGTAAGTTCAGATGAATTGGATGTTGATATAAGGGGGTAGTAACAAGAGTGATGAGTTGTCACAAACGATTGATAAAGAAGAGTTACGTAATAGCATGCATAGTTTGGTGAAATTGAAACAAGATAACATACGGAATTACGCAAGAGTTTTAAGTAGTTAGTCCTAACTTGACCTAACATATGTTTGTTTGCTTGATTTGACTTAACTTTTGCTTACTTTACTTATTTTTCTACCTACTTAAAACTTTTACGTAATTCCGTATGTTATTTTGTTTCCATGTACACCAAACTATTCACGTTATTACATAACTCTTCTTTAACAATCATTTGTGAAAACTCATCACTCTTGTTACTACCCCCTTATATCAACATCCAATTCATCTGAACTTACTAACTGTATTTCCGTTTGGCAAATTTGATGTACACACACATAAAAAACAACCATAAATATATTTGCGATTGTACAGCTATGAAAATGAATTCGCCGAAAAGAAACTCTTCGCTGACATACTGGTCTTTTGTCTATTAATGTTCTAGTGGGGATTTTTCATGCATTAAATTAAGTTGAGAATTCCGTATACTGTGCAAACATTTTTTTCCTGAATAAAGCTGTCATTATTATAATTGTTATCGTATTATTGTTATTTCAGTCCAGACATTCTGAATCAACTGGAGCTAGCTCGAGCAACAGTCTATTTAGAATATCCAAACCACTGAAATCATATTATCCTTGACAAAGACTGAAATCTAAAGGCTGACTTAAAAAAGCCAAATTTATACAGAAAAAATGTATTCTAGATGACTGAACTTCCTACTTACTGGAAAAGATTCGGTGAATGGATGAAAGCCGTCGCTTTGTCAGTTACAGTTACGCTGTCAATATTCAACAGTATTACTACTCACTTTATTCTTCGGTAATAAATGACACATGTAAACCACTTATGCCTGAAACTCGAAGTATGATCTCATGGAGAATTACAACAGGTGAGATAAGTAAAGTGAAGCATAATGATATTAACATTAACAAAATAGGACATGAACTGAAAGAGAACAACCAAGTAGGAGTCTTTACAAAGTCTTGAAGACAACAATTTGTGAATACACCTGTATCATTCTAATCGCTCATACATTTTATCTTAAAAAGTCTCGAACAATTAACTTTTGACATAAAAGATAATGATATGATTAAGTAATAATAGATTTTCTAATCTTTAAACAGATATGCATTGACAATTACAACTTACCATAACGTCTATAAGGTTGTGGTGAATAGCGTTCATCGAATCCAGAACTTCTTCCTGAACGAATATTATTAGCCTAAGTGAAAAGTATTGACAAGTGAAATGAATAATATCTCTATTACATAACTTTAAGTCATCTGTAGGCTGATAGTATACACAACACCCATAAACATTTAATAATTGGTATATTTTACTTCAAGATTAGGAGAATGAAAGTGAACAACAGCAAATGAAAATACAAGCAAACAAGTGGTAATATTCTATTAAATGTGCAACTGAAGACTCTATATGTGTTAGGTTAAAGAAAGAAAATAAAAACAGATTGTTTGGTATGAAGCAGGATATACACAGTTAGCGGTATTTGTTAAATATTTGCCAGCTATAGAGTGAAGAGTGACATGTTAGTTAAGAGTCACATTTTTTTCTCACAAGATCGTTGCTTATAAAAAGCAGAAACGATTGTAATGAGATAGAATGCATGAATCATTTCCTAAATCCATTAAAGATTTGAGCAAATAAGTTTTTTTGTTCCTTTGCGTTCCCAGTGGAATATACGGATTCAAGTTAGAGCTTTGGAGTTTCAGTAGCAGTGGTGATTTTTTACGGGATGGGGTTGATAACCTCACGCCCAGCCTTCCCTCCTTGCTGGGCTTACTACCAACTAAACAAGGTAAAGGAGTGCGTCGGCCAGGGCTCGAACCTTGAGCCATTTGAGTGGTACTTAATATTCCTTTAAATAATACCAGAGTGTTTTAAAAACATCCTGGTAAATTCACTGCAGGTGGCACGGATGAGAATATCAAAAGCAGAATCGGAGAAGAAAGAGAGACTTTTATCAGTCTGAAATCATTGTGGAAATCTATCGCACTTACCATAAAGAACAAGATTCGTATCTTCAAAACTAATGTCAAGTCAGTTCTTCTTGGCGTGCAGTCATCTGAAGCATTTCCAACAGACTACTGGAGACTTTTATCAACAACTGACTTCACTGTATGCTGAAGATCAGATGGCCAAAAAGGAAATCCAGCAACTAACTAGCCAAGAACCTATCTTCAAACAAATAACCTAAGTGAAATGGAGACGGATTGGAGACACGGTAAGAAGACTATTGGGTGACATCACATGCCAGACATTCAAGTGGAACTTTATTGAGTAGCAAAAAGTTGGGCTTCCTGCGAGGGTGACATGAAGGTCGTGCGAAGAGGTAATGAGACCTTATGGGCAATTGTGGAGTCAGCTAAAGTGGACTGCAGAAAACAGGATATAATAGAGATGTGCTATTGAAGCCATATGTTCCGTTAGCGACCCAAGGGGATAATAATGGTCTCCATACTTATAATTATACTTAATAGGCTACAGATTGACTATTTAAACATTATGAAAACAAAATGCACACGTAGACATTAGAAATACTACAAAAGTACTTTTACCCAGTTTGAAACTTCCGATTACAGTTTATCTGTTGTAAATACTTAGTATTAACTCTACCTCCTGTGTGTTTCTGATAAGTTAAAATGAGCTAGAACTCTGAGATTGAACATGAACTACCTTCAGATGGAGAACCACTGAAAACCAAGGAGTACTGCACCTAGTTTGGAACTGTTCATCAGTACACACCCATGAACCCAACAGGAAAGAAACCCAGGATATTCAGGTTACAAGTCGAGCTCGTTGAGCATCCAGTCACTGGGCCAGAATCCAATGGTCTATTTATTTTTTTAATTTTTATTATTTTTTTGATTACAGCTTGATGCCACACCATGTTTTCAGTACAAGTATGGAATTTTCAGCATGGATATCGGTAGCCCAAATTTTACAGGCCAACCATAGATATTGGTGTGCGACGGCATGGTCGGCGAGAGTCGTATCCACTGGCCACCGACGGACCATGAATTCAAGCTTCTAATAATTCGTGATACATATAGCGCTACTGCCAAACGAAGTCATCAGTGAGTGTTCGTTCTCACAACCTACTTGGTAGACCACAGTGTTTGCGACTTCTCACTGGAACTTCATCCTGCATTCAGTCAATAATGAGTGCCGGACTAATTTTAAAGTGTTTGTTTGCAGCGTTTCGGTTAAAAGCAAAAGAAAATAGGAATTTATGACCTGTCGTTATGTAATTTAAAAGAATAACAGGAGGCAAAACACATAGAGGACTTCTAAAACCAATATTCCTGCAAAAATGAAGGTTATTCACTCAAGTTAGACAGTAGTTACTTTTTAACAAAGGGTATATATTTTCTTTATGGTATTCATCTTGAATAATAACAATATGTATCATTACTACTGCTACTACTTATGTTAGTAGTAGTGTAATGAACCATTGGGGTACTGACAAAACTGACAGAATATAACGATCATAAAGTACAGTTACGAGAATTATTTCAATATATAATAGTTTAAGCATAATCAAACTGTTATTGTCATCAACATGAATTTGATGTAGGCATCTGCATGTGCTTCGAATAATAAGCATAGATAATAAAATAACAATAATGATAATAAAAATAATGAGATTGGTGATCATTGATGAGTGACAGCGTAGATTACTTTAGCTTAAACAAGCACAAAACGTTTCTATCACATGACTATTGATAATATTTGAGTACAAATCACAGTGGGAATAAGCGTATGTATCATTTACTACTCTAATTTTTCTTTTAACAAAATAAAAATCTGTTTTCAGTAGGTTTCAATTAATTACTCGAAAACATTTAAATTAAGAAATCCTACCTACTCAAGTGAGGAATAAAATTTAGAAATATTTAACAAAAATTTTATATAAACTTTATAAATTTTTTTTCATTTTCTGTAATAAGAACTAAATTTTATTTTGAACGTGAAATATCATGGGTGTTCAATGTTGAAGGATAATTAATTGAAAAGAATGAGTTGGTGTTCACTGGATGTTAAACTGATTATGAGATTCTGTTACGCGCGAAACAATATCTGAAGCACATTTATTAGTTTTAATACATAAATATGTTAAGACTGAGCAGAAGGCTGTTTTTTATCATTTGAAGTGAACATGTTTTACAAGTAAAATTGAACAAATGAATACCTGCAGAATAGAAATAATGTGCTCGGTGGCACAGCGTTAGACTCCTGCACTCAAAAATAATGTGAGTCGTTGGCACAGCGGTTAGGACTCCCGCCGACCATGCACATGGTCCGGGGCTCGATACACTGCCGACGCACACCTGATATCAATGGTCGGCCTGCAAAATTTGGGCTACCGATTTCACATGCTGAAAATTCCATACTTCTGTCAAAAACACTGTGTGGAGTCAAGCTATACTAAAAGAATAAAAATAAATATGTACTGTAGAAAATATACTTTTAAATGTGGCACCGTTATTTTCTTGAATTCATTTGCGTTCCGTGTGGAACATACTGCTTCAAAATTAGGAGTTCCAGTAGCGTTGGCATTGTTTATACAGGGTGGGATTGCTAGCCTCACGCACAACCGACCCACTTTTCTGGTTTTACTCCTGAATAATCAAGGTCTAGAAGTGCACCGACCGGGAGTCGAATCCGAACGAAGTGTGTGGCATTCGATCCCTAAGCCACAGATGATGAAATCACATAATGATTCACTCACTAACTGAATGACTTATACACTGATTCTCAAGAGAACCGAACACACTGATCCCAGCCTTTTGCAAGACCAGAACTGTATACAGTATCATCTTGTAGTGCAACCACTTGGGTGCCCTCTCCCCTGATGGATCACAGCTGTAATTCAAACAGCTACAATAATAAAATTATCGACTGAACGCCACAGAGAAAGTTATGTCTGTCTAAGAAACTGAAAATCTACAAAATTTTGCAGCGTGAGAAAAAAGAGCAAGCTCATAGTAAAACACAATGCTCATATGAAACGATAATCCGTATATATAGATATACTCATCATCTGTCATACATAATCATTTTCCGTAGTCATAGTTAAGTCGCTTAATGGAAACAGTAGGTAGCAGTAAACTGCAAAGAACCATTGCTGGTTTGAGATTCATCAACTTGACAGTAGTAAAACTTGTTATTTGAAAAAAATTGGGGTCGTTTAGCATCTTTCTAAACTAAGTATTAATAACTTAAACCGAATCCCAAAAGCTTTAAGTATAAGATAATTACGCAACTATCTCATTCTTTAGATATATTTATTATTTTTTTGATTATAGCTTGACTCCACACCGTATTTTTGGTACAAGTATGGAATTTTCAGCATGTGATATCGGTAGCCCAAATTTTGCAGGCCGACCATTGATATCAGGTGTGCGTCGGCAGTGTATCGAACCCCGAACCATGTGCATGGTCGGCGAGAGTCCTAACCGCTGTGCCACCGACGCATATGGGAGTAAAATCATGTAAAGGCATAAATTCCATTAATTTCATTAAATACTTATTCTGCAAATACAGATTTAATATAATATATAATGTGAATCTTTGAAGCCTATTGTTAAATAAAAGTGTGAGTTCACCAACTACCTGACTACAAGATGATTGAAGGTCAATTTCGATGACCAATACAAACAGTACAGTGTCCTAGAATATAAAAATGGAATTCTTTCCGCTATTTATTGATGAGTGGTTGATTAGAACTCAGTCACCCGGTCTCAAGCTATGAGCCAAATTTATCGTGTGAGGACTGATGATGCTACTCACTTGCCCAGCCTGAAGTAGGTGGAAAGAGACTGAAACCCAGGACCCGCTGATTAAAAGTCCACTGCTCAAGCCAGTGAGCCAGATCTCACAAATTGATAAGTACAAATAAGCGTTGTATTTGAGTCTGTTACCAACAGAAGAACTGGAAAATGAATAGCGTCGTTCGGAAACAAGTAATTAGTGCTTGAGTGTCACTTATTTACTAATTGTACGATATCAATGTGGGGTAGATCAAATAAATTTATTCTGTTTTGCAATTATACTGTACTTAAGACTACAGATTTTATTCTGAAATCGGTTCTACGGGAATTTCTGCAACAATTTTTTACAAAATGGCCTTATTTTAATACACACTTATCAGTATAGTTTTATGTCTCACTCATGCAACTGTCTTTAATGCTAGTTTAAAGC